CATGTGTACAATTACGAGGTGTGCAGGACGACTGACTCCAGAAAGAGTGACATGAAATATATGCAACCGATGAGTCAAAGTTTAGTGAGTGTGGACGGAGCTGGAGACGATGTACCACAAGTGGATAAGCAACTGTCAGCCAACTGTTCCCAGATGTCTACTCTGGTGAGTGATAATCTAGTCTTTCCTGTTCCATTTTCTCATGCTCAGTACGCACGTTTAAATGTTAGTGAAGGTTTTTAAAAATCGGCTTAGTGTAGCTGTCTGTGGTCCTGATTTTTTTGGTTGACGCATTTTAAGTAATTTTTCAGTACTTACAATCGTCATTCTCCGTATGTGTAGCTACTAAAGATGGTAGGTCTAAATGTTTCACCAGAAATTTCTTTCGCATACAAGGAGGAGGGGAGCAAGTGAATCAGCGTTCAGGGTGCCGAGACTGAGCAGGTCTTAATCACAGCATTTATTCCAGAGAAGGAAGAAAAAACGGAATTTACAAACACATTTTAAAAGACACTTGTGCAATAAAAAACGTTCTCTGTATGGTAAAATCCCTGCTGACTGGAATAAATATACACTATTCAAGACATAATACAATACGATGTTTCTCATACACTAAAATTCCCCCCACAGTGCCGTGATACCACTGTCCGGCCACGCTCAGACAAGCGTTCCTTGTATTTAGAACCAGGAGAGGAATTCCTTTTCCGAAATAGAGATCATGACAGCCGGAAAGCCAAGGAGCAACTTCATATCTCGGCCCTGTGTCTCTCTGACGGGTGCGTCGCCTCACAGTCCAGCCGCACTCCACACTTGGGGCTCCCGATTACTGAAAACGTGGCCGCCCTCGTAGCAACACCATGAAGCACAACAGTGGGGAAAGCGATACTCACATATGCTGTCGATTGGACGCGTCGTCTCCCACTGTCGCCCTTGTTGCTGTTGGGATTTGGTCGCCGCGTTACGCTGGCCGGTCCGTCTCCGAATGACCCGTCGCAACCCACGATCAGGCAGCAGGTCCGTCTTTTCCCACGCTGGCTTTCACGCGTTCCTTTCTCCTGTCTCTGCGCCCACCCTCTCCTTTAACAAGTCCGTTTGGTGGCTAATAGGCCACCTCAGGGTATGCCAACACCTCAAAAGGTGCCTGCTATTGTCCGCCCAGTCCACAGTGGATTAAAACACGCAATATAAATATCAGGGTAAAACCATGAAAATAAAATCAGTACTGTACGCACTCATACACAATAAGAGCAAGACAACACAAACGATAAAACAAACACAAATTTCCACTGTGTGACATATGTTGGGATATTGTTTTTATTTGTACCACTATTTAATTTTTATTTAGTAATGCATGTTACGCGAGGCTGGTCTAAGTTTAAAGTCCTTTTACTTCTATGTCCGTAGTACAATTTCTGACACTTCAAAGCTCCACTCTCTGTGTATTCATAAAAAAA